AGGGGAGGACTGGTTACTCGCTGATAGTTCATTTACAAAATGGAAAACTGAACCCCTACCAAAAGAACAAGGCGCTCTCCCAGCCAGGAGGCCAGGGAGACGTGTGGGCAAGATGGCACATGGTGTTGTGTGGTGTCTTGGATGGGACCCTGGGACAGAAAGAGGACATGAGGGAGAAATGGCCTTGAATCATGTATTAAAAATACTGTTGCCGTTGAGTCGATTCCGACTCACAGAGACCTTACAGGACAGAGGAAAACTGCCCCGTGGGGTTTCCAAGGAGCGGCTGGTAGATTCCAACTGCCGACCTTTTGGTTAGCAGCTGAGCTCTTAACCACTGTGCCACCAGGGCTCCGAATCACCTGCAGACTTTAGTTAATAATAATTTATCGGCTTTGGTTCATTAATTGTAACGAATGTACTGTACTAACAATGTAAGCTATTAACAACAGGAGAAGCTGGGAGCTCTCTGCCATTATCACAGTTTTTCTGTAAGTCTATAACGGCTTGCTTTAGCTTCCCAGGGTCACCATAACACCAGCACACACGGGGTGGTTTGAAACAACAGAAACGTACCCTCTTACAGTTCTGGAGCCAGAGGCCGAGACGGCGGTGCTGCAGGGCTGCGCTCCCTCCGAGGGCTCTAAGGGAGGACCCTTCCTTGTCTCCTCCAGCTTCTGGTGGCCCCAGGCGCTCCTGGGCTGCTTGTGGCAGCACCTCTCTCATCCCTGCGTCTGTCTTCGCCCCTCTGTATCCGGCCCACCCTAATGACCTCAACTGATGACGTGCGACAACCCTGCTTCCAACTCAGCTCACGTTTACAGGTCTGGGGGTTGGGACTACAGCACAGCTTTTTAGGGGACACAATTCAACTCAGAATACCATTTTAAAATAAAATGTTCATTAATAACTAAAAAAGAGTAAGAAAGCTCTTCATGTACAGATCTGGAAAGAGCTCCAAGACATAGTAACTGTCAAACCAAGGGGAAGCAGGACATAATACACAGTTTTGTGGGTGTGCAAGAAGGGAGAATACATTTTACATTTGCTCATACTTGTAAAAAGCAACTTGGAAGGAGTCGTAAGAAACTAACATTTCACATGTGAACATGTCGATTATTCGAAACGAACATACAAATGCTGCTCAAAAACCTGTGCTGGCGTTGGCCCTGTGGTTGCAGTTTTCAATCTGTTCTCAGCACCACGGGGACCCCAAGCCCTAGGTCTCTGCTCACCGGTCTTTCTCCTCCCCCCTGTGCTGTTCCCAGCGGTTTCCCTCTCTCCTCCTGCTCTAGCTGAAGAGCCTGCTCCACAGTCCCCCGTGCCAGCTCCCATTCCGGGAATTTGGCAGAGCAGCTGGCCGGCTCAGCTTGCATCAGGTCATGGAAAGTTAACGATTCAGACGCAGGTCACAACGAGGATGAACGGAGCCAGCAGATCCCAGCAACATGCCATCCCCCAGCACCAACAAGACATCACCCCAATGGTTTTTCCCACAAGAGCATCAGAAAATACTGCAAAATCAGGTGAAATTATGCTTTGGAGAACTTTTTTTTTTGAAGAACATTTTTATTAAGCACATTTTAAGAGCCTTAGAAATGGTCCAATAAAACTACTGCAAATATCATAATACTCCTTTTAAGGGGAAAACACTTGTATTGACCAAGAGGCTCACTGCTGTATTCTTTATAGCAGTACAGTGTGACATCTTCTCAACGTCTTACCAGAAGGACCGTCAGGCCGTGGGCGAGGGTCTGGATGCTGGGCGGCAGGAGAAGCTACGCAGGCAGAACCACCCGGGGAAATCCCCAGCACAGGCACAAAGCGCCGTGCTCTTGGCTTAGCGCACGCGATCCTCGCAGGAACACCCAATGACCAATGGTAGTGAGAACGTCCTGTAGCAGTGGTCCTGTGAAAGTGAAATTCCCAGCACTTCTAAGCACAGAGAGCGTGTGTGCTCATGAGCTCCCCAAGGTGGGCGATGCTGTGCTGGGGCATTAGAGGGTGTTGGGTGACGCCTCCTTGTGCAGGCTCTGAGGCCGCATCCACTGGCCCAGTCCTGCTCGAGGCTGTAGAAGTCTGGCAGGCGGGCGGGCTTGTACAACCTTGGAGAGGGCAGAAGGCTGGCACCAGTGGCTGGGCCTGGGCGTGGGTGAGTCGGCAGCGGACCAGGGCGCCCACATGCTGAGCTGGGCCTCCCCTTCCAGGACCACAGAGGGAGGAACCCAACACAATTCCAGGTGGGATGGCCACAGGACAGGATGACTGGGTGGTGAGGTTGTAGGCTTTTCCTCCGTTTTCCATGACGATGATGCTGATTGTAAGAGCGCTGTAGAGCCCCACAGCGTGTTTTCCTCCGGGGGAGCTACAGTGACTGGCTTTTGGGAGCCTAGGGAGCCATTTGCCTGGCACGGTCCATGTAAGTAATACATTTCCTTACAAAGTGATGGGGGTCGGCCTGCAGGGTGCTGCCCTCTGATGCTCCTAGGACACCTCCTAACCGTCCACCACGATCCCTATGCAGCCATGACCCCTGGTGCATCTCGCTTCAAACCACAATGTCAACACACCAGGCAGGGTCTGGCCGCCTCCCAGAGAACTCCACACCTCTCCCCCAGAACCCCCTCTGAAAACCCAGACTGCAGCTTCTCTTCCCTGGAAACGTGGGCGTGGCCTCTGGATGCAGGAGAGCGCAGACACAGCTGGCACCATCCCTCCACAGGGAAGAAGGAAGATAATCACCTGGCTGGTGACTGGTCCCCAATTATTATTCCCTCCATCTTAGTTATCTAGCAATGTTATAACAGAAATGCCACAGGCGGGTGGCTTTCACAAACGAATTTATTTTCTCACAGTTTAGGAGGCTAGAAGTCCAAATTCAGGATGCTGGCTCTAGGGGAAGGCTTTCTCTCACTGCTGGCTCTGGAGGAAGGTCCTTGTCTCTTTGAGCTTCTGCTCCTGGGCCATCATGTGGCTTGGCATCTCCCCCCATCTCTGCTCTTTTATATCTCAAAAGGGACTGACTCAAGACATGCCCTACACAATCCTTGAAGTTGTCAAGGATTTCATTTTACTTGGATCCACAATCATCACAAACGGAAGCAGCAGTCAAGAAGTCAAAAGATGTATTGCATCAGGCAAATCTGCTGCAAAAGACCTCTTTAAAGTGTTAAAAAGCAAAGATGTCACCTTGAAGACTAAGGTGTGCCTGACCCAAGCCATGGTGTTTTCAATCTCTTCATACACATTCGAAAGCTGGACGATGAATAGGGAAGACTGAAGAAGAACTGACGCCTTTGAGTTGTGGTGTTGGTGAAGAATAGTGAATATACCATGGACTGCCAAAAGAACGAACAAATCTGTCTTGGAAGAAGTACAACCAGAATGCTCCGCAGAAGCAAGGATGGCGAGACTACATCTCACATACACTGGACGTTATCAGGAGGTATCAGTCCCTGTAGAAGGACATTATGCTCGGTAAAGTACAGGGTCAGCAAAAAACAGGAAGACTCTCAATGAGATGGACTGACACAGTGGCTGCAACAATGGGCTAAAGCATGACAATGACCGTGAGGGAGGATGGCGCTGGACTGGGCGGTGTTTCATTCCGTTGTACAGAGGGTCACTATGAGTCACAACCGACTCAATGGCACCTAACAACAATCCTGCCTCATTAACATAACAAAGACAACCATTCCCAGATGGGATTATAACCACAGGAATACAGGTTAGGATTTAAAACATATTTTTTGGGGACACAATTCAACCCGTAACATCCCCCATCAAGACTGCCTTATTTCTGGTTAATAAGCCCAGTCCCTTTCTAGTGGAAAATGACACAGCAGAACAGTGGCACTGCTTGCAAAAACCAAAAGCATGAAAGTCAATAAGGGAGAAATAAGAGAAAATTAATCCTGGCATGCAGACATCCTCTCTAAGTCAGACACAGACCCCAGAAGTCACGGTAGAAACGGGTGACAACTACTTGGACGTGTACACCGCTCTCGGAGGCAGCAGAGGGCTGCTCGCCCTGCTCCTCCGCTCCAGCCAGGTGTGTGTGGTCACCCCTGGGGTAGCTGGACGGCCATGCGCCGTATCTCCTGCGTTGGGTGTCCATGGGAAGGATCATTTTAAAAGAAGGGAAAATCATAAATCCCATGTTTTGGTTTTGCTAAACTGGCCCAGAAGGGAGTTAAGCTACACACAGAAACTTCCTTCCCGTGGGATGGAGAGCCGGCCGGCCCTGTCTGTGGTGTTTACAGGTGTGGGCCAGGTTAGACTGCAGTGGCCTGCGATCCCAGGTGAGGCGACAAAGCCGCATGTCCATCGACACAGGACACCACATAGGAGGGGCGCCGAAAAGCTCCCGGGGGTAATCTGGAGTCTCAGGAGACACCAGGGCAGAAGCTGAGCAGAGCTCAGGTAAGATGAGGGGATGGTTCAGTACAACCGGAGTCAGAATCCACTTGATGGCAGCCAGCGACAACATATCAGTTGGGACTTTCTGGATGCAAAAGAAAGAAAAGGGCCTGTGCTCAGCCTACATGACTCAGGGAGGAGGAATGCTGGCTTCGGGAACAGCTGGATCCAGGTGCTGCCATGATGCCCTTCCGAGCCCATCTGCCCTCCTGCTGCTCTCCCCGGTGGCCACGAAGCTAACCGTGAGCAGCCCGTTTCCACTGTCTGGCATCATCAGAACCAAGTGGTAGGCCAAGAGAGCACCTCTCCCCGCAGCAACCGTGTGTGAGCTGGGACCGAGCCTCCTTGAAGTGACCATACCTGCAGGTGAACAGGATGTAGAGCTGGGCCGGGAAGCGGGGTGGGGGCAGAGAAGAGGGGGTAAGAGGGCTCTTCCCAAGGCCGCTGCTGCAGGCAGGCAAACCCCACAACCACCCCCAACTCTCCACGTCTCTTGGACATGTGCCGGATCCAGAAGATAGTGGCAACAGGGTAACAACAAAGTCGCAGGCCAGGCAAGGAAGGGACCACCCCAGTGCTGCTAGAAAAGGTGTCTTCCTCTAATTTTATTGGATACGTTTTCACAGAAACATGATATTATTTACAAATATACAGGTAAGAGACTGCTGGTCAAAAATCTTAAACTGAAAATGTCATCAAAAATTAATTTACAAAAGCCGCCACCTGTCTGAGGGAGCCCGGGTGGAACATCGGGTGGTTTCTGTGATGATCTGGACAGAAGTACGCATCTCGGCTCTGCCGGTTCTGTGACCTCAGATGCTTCAGGCTGCAGAGGCAGACCGTGGCCACGCCTGTGCCGGCTCTGGCGCTGGGCTGTGTGGCAGCTGGCCCGCGGGCTCAGGAGGCACTGGTCTGCAGGTTTTTGGAGGCTGCAAGCATTGCTCTCACTTTGGCCATCAGGTCCTGTGAAGGCGAGAGGACACTGAAGAGCCCCTGTGAGCAGCACTGAGACCAGGTGTAGCCTTGTGGCCTCAGGAAGAGCCCACCGAGAGGGAGACAGCGTAGGGCAGTGTCAGTGGGCAAAGGCAAGAGACAGTGCTCCTTCCACCTACTGAGACAGCTGGCAGAGGGAAGGCATGACTTCTAAATGCTTAAACAGGGGCAGGGCTTCACTGAGTTGAGTCACTGCGTGGTCTGACTCTCCGGGAGGAGGTTGGGCTGGCTGCCCTGTGGAGCACCAGCAACACCGCGGACCCAGGCCCAGAAGCAACACCCTGTGCTGCTTCTGCCCCACCCCCAACGTTGCTGGTCCCCTGGGGGGTGTCAGCCCAGGATGCCCATCTGAATCCACGAAATGAGAGCCAGCGGAACAGAACAGACCACTCGCAGACAAGGCCCGTTTATAACAGGAGAGGGAGCCCCCCTTCCGGTCTTACCTGAGTTATTTTGCTTTGCACAGAGGAAACAATTGCTGACGAGATCTGACCATCTTTTTCCTGAGAAACTCCCCTAAAGCAAATACAGAGAGATCAGAGGTTTTAAAAACAAAAATTGTTAACATAGCTTAACAATGCAGAAAAGTACAAAGAAAAATACAACACCCATATTCCCACTCCCTAGAAATAACATTATAAACACATATTTCACTCTTGTATTTGTTACATAGATTTTTAATATTTTATGAAGTACAACCTAACCCAGAATACACCTCTCTACAGACATCATATCAGACACATTGAGAGAGGACAGTAGGAAAGAAGCGCCATGAGGCTGACATCCCCCTGTTGCAGCCTCTCTGGGCTGAGGGCTCCAGAGCCCAGCAGACCCTCCCTGCTCTGTGCCGAGGGGGGACTCTGTGGGACATGCCCTGTGGTTGGGGGACACGCCCTGTGGTTGGGGACCCATGCCTCTTTACATTTTAACAACGATCTCACATCTTCAACCCTGACTGATCTTAGGTCAGCCGGAGTCTCTCCCTGCTGTTCTCAAGAGAAGAGACATGCTTAACTCCCAAGTTGGGGCACACCCACTGTTCTGACTCATCAAAGCAGTGGGTTCACGACCAAGTATGAGCAGACTTTACTCCCAAATGATATAATCCTGAGCCTGCTGCCCAGGGCCTGGGGCACGGGGTGGATGGAGATCTGATAGGAAAGTCTCCTCTCTGGCTGATCTGAAAAAAGCTGACACACGAGGACCGTCAGTCGACGCTGGCAGGGCGGCCTGCGCCTGGGTCCTGATAGATTCCTGACACTGACAATCACTTTGGCCTCGATGTGCCCGAGTCCCGGTCCAGTGGGGCGCTGTAACCATGTCCACTGACCCAGCAGTGAGTTCTGACTCCCTGTGCTCCCCCACTGTGCTGCCCAGGGGTTGAGGTCCAGGGTGCAGGCGAGGGTGGTGGGTGAGGTTACCTGGAGCGCTCCTGGCTGGACCCCCGGCTCTCCACAGGAGAGATGCTGGCCGAGTGCGCTGACATCCTGTGTGCAGACTGCTTGCTTGGGGACCCTGACTGAGACCTGGCCTTGGACTTGGTCCGTGACCGTGATCGCCTCTTCTTCTTCTTCTCATGGGGACTTCTAGAGGAGAAACGTGTTCATGAGAGAAACGTACGTACGATTTAAAGACAAGGAACTGGGCAGGAATGAGTACATTTGGGGTCTAAGACATTTTGCAGAGATATGTTTTTCTTTTTTCCCATACAAAAATTTATACATACATTGTTATGTGACTCTAACTGCTCTTCTCATACTGTGACAGCACACTCCTCCTTTCCACCCGATTCCCCATGTCCATTCAACCAGCTCCTAACCCTCTCTGCCTTCCCATCTCACCTCACCTCTGGACAGAAGCTGCCCATTTAGTCTCTTGTATCTACTTGAGCTAAGAGGCACACTCCTCAGAGATGTTTTTCAAGTGACAAGTTGGTGATACCACCTTTCTACACACATTAATTCATTAATTCCTTTTAGGAGATACATACGGGTATATGTACATACATGTAGGGTCGCTATGAGTCGGAATCGACTCAATGGCAACAGGTTTACACACACACACACACCCACACCCACACCCACACACCCACACACACCCACACACACCCACACACACCCACACACACACACACTTCATTTAACTAGCTATCAATGGATTCAGCCCAACAACTGATGGGCTTAACAAGTCACCAGGAGTAAGAGGAAAACCATCTTGTCTTCTCTGTGGAAGGAAGCTTCTGTCCCTCTCACACAGTCCTTAAACAAAAGGCTCATGGCATTTAACATAGAAACAGCACTTTATGTGCATTTAAAATACACGATAAGATAACCCAATGCTATTTATACTGCTCTTTCATTTATGACAATTTACTGAGAATTTCCAAAAAGAAAACGGGAAATTACCAAAAGTTAAGTATTTTACAAACACAAAGCTCAGCATTTCTTTCCGATCCCCAGTGTTAACCTCAGGACTGCTGAACGCTCGGCGTTCTCTAAAGGAAAGGCTGTGGAGCCTTCTCCTGCCCAGGCCTTCCAATTCACATCCCCCTCCTGTGGGACAACCTGACTCCATGCCACCTCTACCTTCCTCCCACTCCCCTTAAAACATTTTATGTTTTTTTAAGTAAAAGAAACGCTCAGTTCAGAAAGGTATTCAGGCTCCTTCCCTGCCCTTGATCCCCCGGGCTCCTCCCCAGAGAGGACCACGGTTACCAGTTCCATGGTTTGTAAATCGCACCCCTTTAAAATACGTGATGTTGTGGTTGTTAGGTGCTGACAAGTCGTTTCTGACTCACAGCGACCCTATGTACAACAGAACGAGACACTGCCCAGTCCTGCGCCATCTTCACAGTCATTGTTATGCTGGAGCCCATTGTTGCAGCCACTGTGTCCATCCATCTCGTTGAGTCTTCCTCTTTTTCACTGATCCCTCTACCTTACCAAGCATGATGTCCTTCTCCAGGGACTGCTCCCTCCTGATAACACATGCAAAGTACATGAGACTAAGTCTCGACATCCTTGCTTCTAAGCAGTATTCCGACTGTACTTCTTCCAAGACAGATCTGTTCGTTCTTCTGGCAGTCCCTGGTATATTCAATATTCCTCGCCAACACCACAATTCAAAGGCATCAATTCTTCTTCGGTCTTCCTCTTTCATTGTTCAGCTTTCATATGCATGAGGCGGATGGAAATACCATGGCTTGGGCCAGGTGTACCTTAGTCCTCAAAGTGACATCTTTGCTTTTTAACACTTTATAGAGGTCTTTTGCAGCAGATTTGCCTAATGCAACATGTCGTTTGATTCCTGACTGCTGCTTCTATGGGGGTTGATTGTGGATCCAAGGAAAATAAAATCCTTGACAACTTCAATCTATTCTCCGTTTATCACGATGTTGTTTATTGGTCCAGTTGTAAGGATTTTTGTTTTATGTTCAAGTGTAATCCAAACTGAAGGCTGTATAGCCTTTGATCTTCAGCAGTAAAGTGCTTCAAGTTCTCTTCGCTTTCAGCAAGCAAGGTTGTGTCATCGGCATAATGCAGGTCATTAATGAGTCTTCCTCCAATCCTGAAGTCCCGTTCTTCATATGGTCCAGCTTCTCGGATTATTTGCTCATCGTACGGACTGAGTAAGTATAGCGAAAGGATAGCAACCCTGATGCCCACCTTTCCTGACTTTAAACAACACAGTATCCCCTTGTTCTATTTGAATGACTGCCTCTTGATCTATGTACAGGTTCCGCATGAGCACAATTAAGTGTTCTGGAATTTCTACTCTTCGCAATGTTATCCACAATTTATTATGATCCACACAGTCAAATGCCTTTGCACAGTCAATAAAACACAGGTAGACATCTTTCTATTCTCTGCTTTCAGCCAGGATCCATCTGACATCAGCAGTGATATCCCTCGTTCCATGTTATCTTCTGAATCCGGCTCGGATTTCTGGCAGTTCTCTCTCAATACACTGCTGCAACCCCTTTTGTGTGATCTTCAGCAAAATTTTACTAGTGTGTGGTATTAATGATATTGTTCGAAAATTTCTGCATTCTGTTGGATCACTTTTGTTTGGAATAGGCATAAATATGGATTTCTTTCAGTTGGCTGACCAGGTAGCTGTCTTCCAAATATCTTGGAATAGATGAGTGAGCACTTTCAGCACGGCATCCATTTGCTGAAACATCTCAGTTGGTATTCTGTCAATTCCTGGAGCCTGTTTTTGCCAATGTCTTCAGTGCAGCTTGGACTTCTTCCTTCAGTACCATCAGTTCTCGATCATATGCTGCCTCCTGAAATGGTTGGACTTTGACCATTTTTTTTTGGTACAGTGATTCTGTGTATTCCTTCCATCTTCTTTTGATGCTTCCTGCATCGTTTACTATTTTCCCCGTAGAATCCTTCAATCTTCCAACTCGAGGCTTGAATTTTTTCTGCAGTTCTTTCCACTTGAGAAATGCTGAGCGTTCTTCCCTTTTGGTTTTCTAACTCCAGGTCTTTGCACATATTATAACACTTCACTTTTAAAATACATGATATAAACAAACAAAAAATTTACTAGCATGCCCTGTAAGTCCAAAATGATTTAAACCCCTAATCTGGCTAAGGTTATGGGGTCGCTACACGAATTAATTAAAGGTAGGGTACCTATTCTTAACTGTAAAACCAGATACAATGTTACTACAACTTCATCTCAAACGACAAAACCTGCTAAGCATGTATAGAAGGAATGGGCTAATGCCTTCTTTTTTCTTAATGGTGGTATACTCCACACACCGTGAAACATCTTGTCTGTCTGATGAGTTTTAACAAGTGCATACACTGTGAAACCCTGGCCCCTAACCCAACAGAGAACATCTTGCCATTCTGGAAAGTTCCCTCAATGCTGCGTTTAGTCAGTATGCTCCCCCTCCCCATTTCAGAGGCAACCATCTCCGCTGCATAAACGTGACCACAGAAGCACGTGCTGTGCGCTCTCCCGGCTTCCTTCGCTCAGCACAACGCCCACTATGGCGGGGGTCTCAGCAGTTTGTTTCTCTCCCCTGAGGAGTATGAATACACTGTATGAATATCCCATAGTTTATGCATTCTCCTGGTCAATAAGCATTCGGGTTGTTTCCAGTTTTTGGCGATTAAGAAGTTTCTGTAGTCAAATGTTGACTTTATAGTGGGTAAATACCTAGGAAGAGAACTGCTGGATCATGGTGCAATATGTTTCTCTTTACAAGAAACTGCCCAACTGTCTGCAAAGTGGTTGAACTATTTCACATCCCACCAGCAATGTAGGGAGTTCCAGCTGCTCCACATCCTTGCCAACACTTAGTAGGATTTAATTTGCATTTTCTTGATACTAATGATGCTGAACATCTTTTCCTGAGCTTACTGGCCATTTGAATACATTCTTTTGTGAAATGTCTGCTCAGGTCATTTGCTCATTTCTTAACTGGGTTCAGTTGTTTGTCTCTTTATTTTGATACAAGGCCTTTGTTAGAGATATGGATTGTAAATCTTTTCTCCAGTCTGGGGCTTGCCTATTCATTTTCTTAACTGTGACGCTTGAAGAGAACTTTTTAATTTCAACGAAGTCTAACTTATTATGGCGGGGTTTTCTGAGTCCTAAGAATCTTTTCCACCCCCAGGGTCAGAATACATTCTCCTATGTTTTCTTCACAATGCGTCATAGTTCTAGTTTTTATGTCTGGGTCTGACCATCTTGAGGTAACTTTTGTGTACAATGTGTGGTTTGCTTTTTTCCCATTTTGGTCTCGGTTGTTCTAGTAAGTTTCCACAACACGCCTTTCCTCTCCTCGCTGGACTGCTCTGGCGCGTTTGTGAGAAATCGCGGCCACATGGGGTCTCGTCAGGACCCTCTACCCTGCCTTCCACTCTGTCCGCATACTCTAACCCCACCTCGGCCTTGACTCCTGCCGCTTTCTACTCCGTCTGGAAATCCAGTGTTTTCTTCATGGAGGTTGTCTGGGCTCTACCGGGTCCCTTCCATTTCCACACAAGCTTTAGGTCAGCACGTCACCGTCTACGAGAGCCCACAGGAGTTCTGACCGGGGGTAGGCTGCGACTATGATCAACTTGGGGAGAGCAGACATCTGACCAACACCATGTCTTCCAAGCCAGGAATACGGGCTCTCTCTCCATTGTTTTAAGTTTTAAAAAATTTCTCTTTAGAATGTTGTGTTTTCCGGTATAGAGATGTCTTGCACACATTTTGTTAAATTTATCCGAGTAGTGTGTGTGTTTTGAAGCTGTGATGAACAGGGTTGTTTTTAATTTCATTTTTGAATTATTCTAGGCGAGTATATATACTGGCGCAGTGGTTAAGCACTCGGCTGCTAACCGAAAGGTCAGCAGGTTGAACCCACCAGCCTCTCCGTGGGAGAAAGCTGTGGCAGTCAGCTTCCATAAAGATTACAGCCTTGGAAACCCTATGGGGCAGTTCTACCCTGTCCTGCTGGGTTGCTGAGTCGGAACTGATCTGACAGCAATGGACAGTATACAGAAATAGACTTTAAGAAACACTGCCTGTCCTGCCTGTTTGCAAATTCCTTTTTAGTTCTGGCAGGTAGTTTGTAGATGCCTTACGATTTTACGTAATTGTGTAAAAAGGTGGTTTTCTTTTCCAATCTTCATACCTTTTATGTCTTTTACTTGCCTTACTGCCTTGGCTATAAACTCTGTCACAGACTTTCTGTCAGATGATTCTGTGAGTGCAATGAAGACATTTGGACCAGAGAAAAGCACATCCTTGTTTATGATCCACGGAGTGTGCTTAGGGGAAGTGTCACAAGGCCTGCAATGTACTTCTCAATGCTTCAGAAAAAACAAAGTATATCTATATCTACAAAGTTAAAAAAAAGCTATATTTTTACAGAGACAGAGAGAGCAGGCAAATGTGAACACTTGTTGAACTGAGGTAAACGTTCTATGTATGGCGGAGTTTACTGTACTGTTTTTTTTTTTTTTTTAACTTGCCCGTCAGATCCGGGCAGGGGGCCCCCTCTCACTGTTGGGGTAATCTCGTCAGGCGGAGTGGTAGCACGCGGGAGTGAGTTAGCCACATGCCACTGCGCGTGGCTCGGGGACCACACAGACGCTGAGATGGGAAGATGGAGGGGTGCGCTGTGAGCGCAGGGTTCACAGAATTCAGTTGCTAATGGAACTGCTCTGCGCCGACAGCTGACTCAGCCTGCTGGTAACTGCGAGTCTGTTCACCTCTGCCAGGTTAACCGGTTTAGAGTGCTCGGAGTGAGGTCTTAATCCCATCTGTCAGGATGTGTGCCTTATTAAAGTGCCAACGAGAGTGTCAGAAAGATCACACAGGTTTTGATGTCAGCCTGGTTAGAAGGCGCTCGATGAGCCCAGCATCATCACCTTTTTCTCCTGCGACAGCTCTCTCAGTACAAAGGTTAATCTGAGGACAAAGCAAGAACTCCTCTGTTAACAGAGATCTTTTGCTACCCAGAATCCATTTTCAGACCATGCCCTTTCCATAAACTGAAGGTGATAATGATTTTCAAATGTTCAACAATTACTTGCTTAAGGAAGAAAACCTTAAAGCAGATTTCCATTTCACATCACAATCGACAGCCACGTGTGCCTGGTGAGGGAGGACCAAGGCACAGAACGCAGTTACACGCAGGGTGAGCGAGCTGGACGGGACACCTTAGCCAAAGTCGGTCGGCTTTTGGGAAGAAGAGATCCCATTTTACCGGTTAGTGGAGACCATCGTACAACTGGACAGATTACAGCAGGACTTCCCCCTTGGTCTTCCCAGAACTACCCCTGTGAATGCATTATGATGGAGGAGCCGACGTGAGGCTGCTAGCTGGCCGCCATCTTCAGCAGGTGGGCAGTGCTAGGCAATGGCCGCGGGTTTGTCCAGGGAGAAGGGGGACCCACGGGTGCCCCCCACACCATGATCCTGAAAGTCCTAGAATCTATGGTGCCCCCTACACCATGATCCTGAAGTCCTGGACCCACTGTGTCCCCTACACCGTGATCCTGAAGTCCTGGACCCACCGTGCTCCCCACACTGTGATCCTGAAGTCCTGGAATCTATGGTGCTCCCTACACTGTGACCCTGAAGATCCTGGACCCACCGTGCCCCCCATACCATGATCCTGAAGTCCTGGAATCTGTGATGCCCCCCACACCGTGATCCTGAAGTCCTAGAATCTATGGCGCCTCCCACACCGTGCTCCTCAAGTCCTGGAATCTATGTCGCCCCCCCATACCGTGAGCCTGAAGTCCTGGAATCTATGGCACCCCCCCCCATGCCGTGATCCTGAAGGTCCTGGACCCATGATGCCCCCCACACCGTGATCCTGAAGTCCTAGAATCTATGGTGCCCCCTACACCATGATCCTGAAGTCCTGGACCCACTGTGTCCCCTACACCGTGATCCTGAAGTCCTGGACCCACCGTGCTCCCCACACTGTGATCCTGAAGTCCTGGACCCCGCACGTCCTGAGCCTCACATGGGCACAGCACCGTAAAATATGAGCCTGCAGAGGGGCCACACTGCTGCCCCCATTGCTGGGCCCCCCGTCGCCAGGAGGACGGTGCCTGCAGTCTGCGCTGGTTGGGCTTGTGCTGGCACCCGTGTGGGTGCACACACAGAGGACACCACCCCCGCTCTTCGGGAGCCCTCATTTTTAGGGAGAACTGAAGCACAGGCTCACTGCTATGGAACACCCAGGTGGCAGCCATCAGCTGTGAACATGAGCCCAGGCAAGCAAACTGAGGAAGGGCCTGTCCCTGGAAAGCACCTATAGCCGAGGGCATAGCCAGCGAGGGGGACGGGGGAGAGGCCCGCTGTGGCACTCCTAGAGGCTGCTGCCCACTGTGCTTGCTGGCCTGGGGTCACGGCAGCCCCGTGAGCGCCACGGACAGAAGCTAGGCCATTCCTGTGAGCATGGAGCCGGCCTAGGGCACCTGGTGGCCCTCTCACCGCCACCTGTGTGGTGAGGAGGTGGCTCTGGGATCAGTGGTGGAGAGCAGGCCCACAGCTGGGTGCCCATGTCAGGGGACAAACCAACCCCACGCGCTTGCCTCGCACAGCCCTGACCGGCAGCTAGTGGCCCTGCCTCGCTCTGTGCCCTCGTGGGTGCCACGGGCGCGCACTCAGTCGCCGGCACGGACCACTCAGGCAGCTGCAGGGACCGTGGGTGCGTCCAGGCACAGCCTCTGGACCGGACGCCCTGGCTCTCTTTTCACCAGTCCACCCAGGCGTCCTCCTTCTTGTAGCCAGCAGAGAAGCACGTGTCGGGGCTGTGTTGGTCCAGCACAGGAGCAGGATGTGGACCCAACGCTGGCGGGAACCTGACCCAGAGCCCCTGGAGCGAGGCGACCCAGGATCCCAGCAGGCCCCTGCCCACCAGTACTCCCAGCCCACAGAGCTCAGGGCCCCCTCCCCTGCCCGTTTGGGCTCTAACGGTCACAGAGGCCACATGGACAGCAAGTCTCCCTTTGATCCCACAGCTGTGCTCCATGACTTGTGCACAAAGCCCTCCGCCCCTTCCAACACGGAGACCCGGTGGCACTCGTCTGTCTACACACGGCCCACCTGGAGCGTGTCCGTTTCCGGCTGGCCCCAGGGCTGTTGCTCACGCGGTAGGCAGTGGGGACACTTCGGTCTTCCCGGCGCCGCTCCGGGGAGTGTGCTCTTCTCCGAGGGGACCTGGACCGCGACCTGAACAGAGGAGGGGCGGGTTTAGTGCCCGAGTCTGGTCTGCTCGACACCATCTTCTGTGGCCTGAGTCTGCAGGCCTTGGCAGCACAGCTTGTGCAGGTGCTGGGGCGGGCTCCTCCCGGCCCCCACTCCACCGGCACAGACACCTCCTCTCCTCACCACACCAGCGCTGAGCTCCCAACCAACGCACGCTCCCGTCTGAGGCCAGAGGCTATCTGAGTGGCTGGTTCCAACAGCCAGTGGCCGCCGACACTCCACATTGAAGGCCTGACTGCACAATCTACGGCCGTCTCAGCTCTGCGTCTCCTCCTTCCTCTCGTCTCTGCCCACTTTATCACCCCACAACCCTCAGCTTACTGCTATCTCCATCAAAACTAGGTAAGGCGGGGCAGTGAAAAGCAGGGGATCGTTTCTCCGTGTTCTGAGAAATGGCAGTAGGGTCAGTGGAGGCAGACACCAGACGGTAATGAAGCTAGGGGGTCCCCTGGAAATTTCTTCTGTTCCCACTCCTCTTGGGGTCTATCAGCACAAATAATCAAGAATTGGCTGTGGGTACAGTGGCATGAAGCCTACAACCTCCAAAGCTGAACATGCCATTCTCATGATAATTTAAACAACTTAAGTTTTGATGAGATTTCATGGACGCAAAACCGTCCATTAGTATGCTATTCCTGCCCTTGGCGTGCCTGAAGAGACTGCGTGTGCTCAAGCACGACACAGGCCACACAGGCAGCAAAGACCCCCGACAGTCAGTGCAGAACCTGCTCGGGACCCTCAGCCACATGGGGGTCAGGTCCTAAGCGCAGGGCCCCTAGCGGTGGGCTTAGCACTGTTGTTTCAGTTCTGTTTTCACTCAGAAAATCACTGTTTTGGGAAGACCTGCAATAAGCAGAAATCTGGGGGAAAAACCCCAAAAAACTCATTTCTTTCCTTTCTGTTTCCATGACAACCCACTTGAAAACAATATGAAGAAGAGCAGTTTGATTCTGCCTTAAAAAAAAAAAATTACATTGACACGTTTTAATTGCAATAAGACAAAAAAAACAAAAACAAAAACAAAAAAACAAACAAAAACACCCCAACACATGCTGCTGTAGCAAAGATCAGCCTATGATCGCATTCCACCCTCTCGTGTCCTAGAGAAAAGCCCGCGTCGTTCCTGGAAAAACTCGACAGTCCTGGACCGGACCTGCCCCAGGATAAACAGGGCTCGGGGGTGGGGCTCCTCTCGCCTGTTAACTGTTAACAAGTTAGCTGCTTTTAGCTTGTCCAACGGTTTGGCCTTTCTTCCCCCAGACCTTTCCTAAGACTTATAAAAGAGATTACAAAGGTGAGTCAGTAGACACCTTGACATTTTACCAGGTTTTCCCTCAAAAGAGCTCCAGGAGTCAAATCTTTTCGTGGTCGAGGCTGCCTGATAGCGCTCCTGCTCGGCCGCCGCCGCCGCTCGCCAGACGCTGTGCCCCGGCTCCGCGCTCAGTGTCCCTGGGGGGGCTGTGGGGCTGTGGTATGGAGGCACCCAGAGTGAAATGAGCTGGTCTGGGACTAGAGTCCTGAAAAAGCTCTGCACCTTGGTCAGAGCTACAGCACCTTATGGAAAGCTGAAGTGTAGCACTCTATATAAACCCAGGAATCAGGAAAAGGAGGTTAGCTGTCAATGCCTGCAAGCTCGTAACTCTGAAATACAGCACCGTTTCGCAGTGGCTATTAGTATTCCGTCTCTTTAAAGCAGAGTGGCCGTTAATACTAGATTTCAAGTTATCTGGGAAGGGAGCCCATCTCAGAATTGGAGACAGTAAACGACATCAGATAATTCCTTAAGCTGTATTTTAATTAAAGAAGCTTTAATGCTTTTTATTCTGTCAATTGAGCTTTTAATACTGCCACCACAACACAGCGTAGAAACAAACGGGAGTTCCGTTTTATAAGTAAATTATCTGCACCACGTGACTAGGGGGCTTCTGAAAGGGGACGAGATCATGTGTATTACAATTTCTCAAGCATCATGCAACTCAGAGATTTTTTTCCTGAATAATCACAAGGGTTTACTTTCAAATAAAGGCATGATGAGACGTTTTTCAATGATAAAATTCCAGAAATTTTACCTGAATGATGATGACTGTATTTATAAACAACTTGTTGTCACCAGCACTTAACCATTTCCTCTCCCTGACTTCCTCCATTCACTGCACACAGGGCTTCACGCAGCTGCACAAACTGGACAGATGACTGAGCATCTGTGCTTTAACATTTGAGAAGCCCCTGACTTTGGGTTTTCCTCAAGTTTAGACTGAGGACTAAATTTCATCTATGGATTTGTGACAATTCCCTAACAGGCCGGGTGCCTGCTGTGGCTCTCTCTTCCTCCTGCAGCACTAAGTCCCAACCACACTTGCTGTTTTACCTGGGTCTTGTTTACAGTTACCGCACCAGTACAGAACCAGTGTCCGCACGTGAGCACTCTGCAAATGACCAGGCGGAACTCTCACAGCGCTAGCTCGCCCTTAAGGAACGGGGTCTGTCGATTACATCAGTTCCTTTTACTGCTGGCCACGCTGTTTATCGAGGGGAAGAGGGGTCAGGAATTGTACATTTCAAACCAAAGTCTGATCCCAATTATGCCTGCTTGAGTTCTTTTTGAACACTGAATGTAAGTGCTAAAAAAAGTCACTATTAACCCCCAGCTCCCACCTCCTCTTCCCCAGAGTGGAAGTCCCTGGGGGGTGAATGTCTACAAAGCAATGTACCTTTATAGTTTCTCTGCACTTGAGGAGATCTTAACATGATGAAATTCAAAAATCTACACAGAACCTCCCCCCAAACGCCAGACTAGCTCTGAAGATAGAAAAACACCAAAGGACATCTTACCAAAAGTTTTAAAAATAAACTCGGCTTCAACCTTTACTCTTTGAAGTTCAGTTTAAAAATACCTAAACCATTAAAACCAAATTTAATTGTAGGCAGTCAGTAAACTGCCTGAGTACTTCGTAAAGCAATCATTCCACTGAGGCAGAGAAGCTCACGGGACATAAACATACAACACTAAACAACACAAGAGAAAAGAACCCCACACTCTACAGATTTTTCCAAGAGCAATTCGCCTATGGGAGTCGCAGTTACTTATTAGACACACTGAATGAGTGGGACTTTACCTGTAAAACATTATATATAAACAAAAACTCGTTATGATATAAAAAGGCTTTCTAAATCTTAACTTTCTACATTTTATAGAGAATTTTAGCAATTTAACATATAAAAGAAAATATATTTCAATTGTAGCATCCTACCACAATTAGAAATATTAACAAATGCGGCATTTTACTTTGAGCTGGCAGTAGTCATTTTAAAACAATCAATTAAGTTGTCTCAGGCCCGAGAAACAAGTCTCCTATGTCCTACGTAGAAATTATGTCTGTATTGGGTTATTCTATCTGAAAAGACAGATAGTTAAAGAAAAAATTATGACAATATCATTAGCAACTTAAATACTTTGGTTAAAATTTAATTATTCTTTATATTCCACAATTTGTATTACTGAGAAGAATACCAACCCACCCCATTTTACGACTGGTGCATTTTAAACCCATCCAGATCCCCCTGGATTTATCAGTGCTGGAAAGTCTGGATTGAGAAATCAGGTCTGCAACCAGCTGAGGATGGAATGCAATACGACCTGATAGAACAGACTCTTCCTGAGTGAAAGCTGAGGCCGATTCACACAAGAGGGGCAACAGTGGGAACTACCTGCTCACTTAACTTAGCTTCCCGACTCCTCTAGCACAGGAGAGCTAGTCTCTCAGCCTCGCCTCTTACCTGAGCCCCTCTAAAACCACCTCGGGTGGCTGTGCACAGAACACGGGTTTGTTACCAAGGAGAACAATCATCATATACTAACTTTCAAGGTAGCACTCCATGCATCATCAAACACTTTGAAGGTTTTGCTTCGTTATATTGTAATAAAGTTGCACTGTGCCTTGATATTTTATCCAAACAAAATAAAACACCAAATGCTTAACTTATTTAGTGAACTTATCAGTGGGCTGATCCACATTTTTGGTGTCAGGTAAATACTACCCCAGCCACTGATATAAAAAAGCTTGAGAGGTATGAAAATACTCTCAGCTCTGTTCACACTGCAGAATACTTTAACTGTAGGTCAAATTAAGGTAAAACTGGTAGCCTACTGTCATAGCAGAACCCACACTGAGAAAATTTTAACTTAATTTTTTTTCTTATTTTAACTGGAAGTTACAAAATAAGGAGTAAGATTTTGATGTTTGCACTTCTCAGTATTGAGTACACTGAAATAGAAAATTTTATTGTAATGTAAAAGAAAAACATGTAACTCTAAATCTAATATAAAAAATACTTAAAAAGTAAAATTAAATAATATATAAATGATTTATTCTATCACAGATAATCAATCAATAAAAAAACATAAAACTGAGAAACTTAATATTCTAGGTGTCAGATGAACCTTTTCCATCTGAATGTAACAGCCTGGGGGAGGAAGTTCATAGTCCTATGTCATCCTCCCCTTACAGCTGAACAGATGGGACACACTTAACACTCACTCTCACAATCGGCTGTATCTGTCAAACATTCAAAACTCAACCAATTCCTCACGCTAGAGAAGTGGTATGAGTAATTTTACAGTTAGCGGCCCCCAAGACTAGGGTTCATAAACTACGTTTTTGTTTGAACCCTGCAATAAGGAGTTTTACAGGACCTGGCATTACGTGGCTGGCTAGCTTAGGCCCCAGGTTATGTATTTTCAGCTACAGAATGGCATTAGATACTTTTTCAAATGAGAAATCTTAAAAAAGTTTTGATAGGTAAATACAAATTTCTGAGAGCTTTCCAAAAAAGAAAGAATGTCAGCAAGATTGTTCATTTATTCAAAACTAAGGGCTTCTGTGTTTAAGTGTGTGTTGGGGGGTAGAGGGTGGAAGTGAGGAACCTTTTAAAGAATTAGTAAAAATGCAGACGTCCAGAAATCGCATTTACTCATCACTCAAGCATGTCCAACTTCACTTTCAACAAGTTAAGTGTAAATGCTTGTCGAGTCTTTGGGGTTTGGTCTGCACAAACACCAGGAAAGCATATTGTTTTTAGGATCTATTCAGAGGCAAACGTGTCCAATTATACTTTAAAAAAAAAAAAAAAAAAAAAAGTCCAGGACATCTGCATTTTTCCTACAGAAAGTTAAGAACTGACATCTATCAAAGAAGAAAACCCAGCTCACAGCAAGCCAAGTGCTGCGTCAAAGAGGCTGAGGGAAGTCCCGTCAGAACCTAGGAACAAAGCCACAGGCAGGACGAAGGCTCCAAAAATAGCAATCTGCTTCTCTAAACCTCCCGCGAGCCCATCACTTTGGTTTTTACTGCTTTAGTAAGCAGAAAATTCCGTGACCCTTAAAGGTTCTCACATTGATTATTTCTGTCGCCAGGAATGTTAAAGTGCTTTCTCACAAGCTGGCTTCTCATGACGATGGCTTTCAGTTAAGCAGGAGGCCTGGAGAGGCAGGTTGGTTACAGGAGAAGACAGACGTGCCCCAACGGCCACGTCTCACTCTGACAGGCTCTCGCAGAGAATCTGCACACAGGTGAGCTGTGAAGGCACCTTCTGCTCTGAACTTTCCAAACTCAAAAGAACTCAGCATGGAAAAGTGCACTCATACAACAAACACAACCATCACCACCAGCACAGCACTCTGAGAATTTTTTAGACATTCAGCAAGCGTGTTAGGTCTGCTCCCAGGACCTGTTGAAATGTAAATAAATAAATATCTACCTATTTACCCTGGTAGCAGATGGTGAGTTTTAGGAAGTTAAGACAGATCTTTAAAGAGCCCAGTTGGATCTGCAGGGGTGTATCTACACACACACACGCACCTGTGTCCTCACAGGTACCTATTTCACAACCCCACGCGGCTCTACGTGCCACGCCAGACGGCAGTGCCGCCCTGCACACCCACCTCGACCGCCGCACCGTCCGGTAGGCGCTGGGGAGGGCGTGTTTGGCTTTTGAGTGCGACCTGGACCTGGACTTGGACGACGAGTGGTACTTGGGCGAGCGGGATCTCGTTCGAGACCGTTTTTTGTGCTTTTTCTTTTTCTTCTCCCTCTCTTCTTCCCGGGGCGCATCTTTGCTTCTGCTTGAAGGCCTGTCAGGTGGTTTCCCTTCCAGAGCGGGCAGACCTCTCCCTGCGACTAGCGGAGCGCAGGGTGAGGTGGTACCAGCTTCCTGTGAACAAAGCAGATGCCGGATGTGAATAGCGATTTAAATGAAGACCTGTGAGATTTCGACGCCAGCCCCTCACGCCCACCACGTACACCTCTTATCACCTCCCCGCCTCTGGCTCTACATCTGCTCCTGCAAGTCCCCCCAGCACCTCAGGGGAAGGATGACCCTCAAGACCCTCTGCTCAGGACCCCTCAGGCGCCGAAAGAACAACTAAAATTTTTCTCTCCGCTGAGTGTCTTCCCATCCAGGAACTCCTCTGCCAATCTGCAGGCCGTAGATGTGAGACGTAATGAAAGAGGTAAGACGACCAAGATACTAAGTTGGAAAAGATCTACGTTTGCTCTTTTAAGAAATAATTTCACCTTTTCACTGAAAAAGAGAGCCCGCTACCTCCAGCTTCAGGTTTTCTATGCATCTCTGTACGCTCTGAAAGCAGCTGTGATGAAGGTCTGACCTAGCAGGGCAGTGTCAGGCAGGGGCGCGCCCGGCTCTATGGGCGTCCTGCAGGCACGCAGGCCAGAAATACCACAGTCCTCCTCCTGCAGCCCGTCCCCTTGTCAATGAAAAGGTCACTCCTCAATTCACTGAAATGAATTTTAACCACAGCCATTAAACCCCACACACTGGAGACGCCACGTACTGAGAAGTCGCCATTTATCAGCCGGCCCCCCGCCCGCGCTCCAGCTGCACCTGCAGGGTCGAGCTCCAGCAGGCGCCTCCCCTGTGCCAGGCTCGCCTCTGCCTGAACTCAAGCCATGACTGTGCAAAGCATCTGTAATTCCTCAACTGTGAGTTGGTTTTTCCTTCCTTCCCTCCCTCTCCTTGGGTCCACGTGGACAAGGCCACCCTCCTCAAGGCCAACTGGCTGAGGAAAACAATGGCTATTTGGACATTATGCTCTCGTTCTGGCTTTGCAATGCCAGCAATGGCACACTGGCGGGGTGAGTGCAGTGAAGACTGTGAGGGCCCGATGGCACTCAGATTGGCCGCTCCATGATGCAGCACCCAGCCTGCTGTTCATACGCACAGCACACCACCGCCCACAGGGCCCACCGTCCTGCAGAGATTCACAGGGGCAGTGGGAAGGAGGGGGACTCCCGAGGAAGAGCAGGCCTTGTTCCAGGGTAGTTGCTTCCCAGGGAAGACAGCTCCAGAGCCAGGACCTCTGGCAGAGCAGCTTGGGGTCTTCCAGTTCCGCTCTGGTGTTTGGCCCCCAGGAGGGGCACGCACAGAGGATGCAAGGACACAGCCAAGTTCATTTTTAAGGCTCTGCCTAATTATCTCCAGGGACAAGGGAACCTATTTTCTCAAGAGAACTCATTCATTGTGGAACAGTTCTTCTGTTAAAAAGCTCTTTCTTGCTTCAAATCCTTTCAGTGTAACAATATTTACCACATTAAGCTTTGAAATACTTTGTCATTAAAACAAATATACCATTTAAACATTGGATAAGAACCCAGCCTCTACATCTAAGAACAACTATTTCCATGCCAGCATTAGTCAAGACTTGTCACAGGCACACGTACTAAATAACCCTTTAAAATATAATAAGTAACATGTTGTCGGCGTGCAACTCTAGAGGCTGTAGAAGGGACGCGCTGGGTAAGCGTTCTGGCTAACCCTTTCCCACACACGCTGCAGGGGAGACGGATCACCAGTGTGCAAACACCAAGAACACGTCAATGAATTTTTAAAAATCCCCACACCACGCACTCTAAATGAGGAGTACACACCGCATGGAAAATGAGACCACTGAGAGAGCCACAGACACCGCTCAGAATCTGTGCGATGATGCCCACAGGGCTGCTGGGATTTATGCTCGGACTCAACACCAGGTAGTGAAAGATCCAAGTGCCCGGCCAGGTCTGTGAACAGACCACAAGAAATGGGAAGAATACAGGGGCAGACAACAAAGAAGGCTCTGCTCAGCTCTCAGATACGATGGGAACTCCGTGAAGTCGGAGCCAGCTTGCAGTTCTCCGAAACAAGGCGTGGGGCGCTGCCCAGGGGGAAGAGAGAGAAAGCCTGTTTTCAGAACTGAGCCATACACTCCTTCCTAAGCAAGGCTGCTCTGTGACGGGAAGAAGAAAACGGCATCATTGTCATCTTTTCCTCCAAGAGTTCTCCTTACGGACTCCTGACACTGTCAAAACCACCACAACGAGCGGGTGTGTGCAACTGTGCCCCGTGCAGAGAGAGAGCAGGTGGACAGATATGGGTCCCAAGGAGCAGGGGGCCACAGACAAATGGATGAGAGGGAATATAAGGCACAGACACAGACAACAGGAGAGCATGCAAAGTGAACTCATTCGCTGAGTTTCTATTTATATTTTTATTGCCAGCCTATTAATGTGGATTTCTGAACCTTATCATTTGTTGCTACTGCCTTTGTCTTAACTAATGTTTGTCATTAATACTATTTCACCACCATGGTTAACATTTGGTACTCTGTATTGAAGCAAGGAGGTAATCTTAATATTTTCGAAATATAACTTGTAATCAAATCATGAGACCTATTTATTCTAACAAAATGATTACCCTTCACCGTTAAAGTGAAAAATGGCCCCTGATTTCATAATTCTGAACTATGGTGACCTCTGCCAGGCTGAATTCAGATTATTTATTGTGCTGACCTCTATTTTTCACCCTAAAGGACTCCAAAACCCACTGCCATGAAGTCGATTCCGACTCCGAGTGACCGTGTGCTGTTGCTGTTAGGTGCCATCAAGTCTTGGTGGTATCAATTATCTTCAGCAGAATCGTGCCTGCCGGTGATATAAATGATATCATTTGATAATTTTCGCTTCTGTGGGATCACCTTTCTTTGGAATGGACACACATATGGATAGATCTCTTCCAGTCGGTTGGCCAGGTACCTGTCTTCCAAATTTCTTGGCATAGATGAGTGAGCACCTCCAGTGCTGCATGCAAACAGACACATCTCAGTTGGTATTCCGTCAACTCCTGGAGCCTTGTTTTTCACCAATGTCTTCAGTGCAGCTTGGACTTATTGGTTCTTGATTATACGCTACCTCCTAAAATGGCTAAACAGTGATCCTATAGGACAGAGAAGAACTGCCCCGTAGGGTTTCCGAGACTGTAAATCTTTATGGAAGCAGATTGCCACATTGTTTTCCCTTGGAGCAGTTGGTGGATTTGAACTACCGACCTTCTGGTTAGCAGTCAAGTGCTTAACCACTGTGCCACTAGGGCTCCTTAATAGTACTAAAGGGATATTTAAAACCCTGTAATCAGACTGGAGAATAAAAAAGCAAAGGATAACCAACACCACACGAAGAACGGTAGCACCCAGTGAGCCATCACACTGCAGACTCATGTGCCACGCACAGGCTGTTAGGTGCTGCCACCCTTCACGGGTTCTGAGACGTCCCTACTCGTCACACTTTGCCATCTCTGACATTAGGATGTCCTACAATTGGAGGCATCACACCGTTCTAACTGGCAGAGGCTCTCCTTGCCAGACACCCACCACAGTGCGTCCTACACCAGCGCCATCATCCTCACAGCACCGTGAGGTGGGGGCTACGACAATATCTGTCAGACACCCACCACAGTGCGTCCCACACCAGCACCACTGTCCTCACAGCACCGTGAGGTGGGGGCTAAGA